AACACTACCCTCTTGGAAAAGTAAAAGAAAAATTCTTTCATTGTTTTACAAACGGAGCTCTGGTGGTCTAGTGGGAAGAAACTGCACTGCAATCCCAGACCTATTTATTTTCTTGGCAGTCCATGATATGTTCAAGACTCTTCTCCAGCACCACAACTCAAAGGCATCTATTCTTCTTTTATTCTTAGTCATTGTCCAACTTTCTGAAACATAATAAGTAATTGAGATAACCATGGCCTGGATTGGGCACACCTTAATCACTAGACTGACATCGTTGCTCTTCACCACTCTGGAGAGGTCCATGACAGCAGATTTTCTCAATGCAATTCATCTTTTGATTTCCTGTCTGCTGGTATTAAGAATGTTGGTTGTGGCTCTGAGAAAGCTGTAGTTGCTAAAAATCTCAATCTCTTCTACATCTATTATCGTGTTGCCAATTGGCCTCGCGGTAAGAATCTTTGCCTTCTTGATGTTGAGTTTCAGTCCATATTGAAGACTACAGTCCTTGACCTTTTGCAGAAAGTATTTCAGGTCTTCTTCAGTTTCAGTAAGCAAACGTGTGCCATCGGCATATCGTAGGTTGTTAATGAGTCTCCCTTAAATCTTGATGCCACACTCCTCCTCATAAAGCCTTTCTTCCTGAATAATCTGTTCTGCATACAGATTGAAAAGATATGGGGACAGGATGCATCCCTGACCCACTCCTTTCTTGATTTTGAACCATGCAGTGTTTCTTTGCTCTCTTCTGAGGACTGCTTTTTTCCACGAGTATAGGTTTTGTACAAGCATGACCAAGTGTTCTGAGATTCCCATTTTCCTCAATGTTAGCCACAATTTATTATGATCTACACAGTCAAATGCCTCTGCATAATCAATGAAACACAGATAGGCATTCCTCTGGTACCCTCTGCTTTCAGCCAAAATCCATCTGGCATTAGCTGTAATATCCCGAGTGTCATAGCCTCTTTTAAATCCAGCCTGCACTTCAGGCAGTTGTCTGTTGATGTGCTATCTCAGTCCTTTTTATCAGCTGTGCATATCAGATAAAGTAGCTGGAAGGAGTATACAGAGTCATTGTACCAGAAAATTGGCTGACACAGAAGAATTTAAAGAAACAATATATGATCATGAAGCAATGGTGATGAATGAGAAAGTGCAGGCATCATGATGGATGATGAAGAGATTGAGATTGTTTACATTTTCAGTTTACTCGACTCTATAGTCAATACTCCTGGTACCAGCAGCCAGGAAATTAAAAGATGAATTGCATTGGGAAAGTCTGTTGTCAGAGATGTCTCCAAAGTACTGAAGAACAATGATGTCAGTCTGGAGACTAAGGTGTACCTGATCTAGGCCATGGTCTTTGCAATTGATTGCTTTGCATCAGAGAGCTGGACAGTTACTAGGGATGATAGAAGGAGAGTTGATGCCTTTGAGCTTTGGTGCTGGAGAAGAGTACTGAATATACCACGGACTGCTAGGAGAAGAAACAAGTTTGTCTTGGCGAGGGTGAAGCTGGACTGCTCCTTGGATGCAAGGATTCTGAACCTTTGTCTGACATACTTTGGACATGTTGCAAGGTGTGATCAGTCCTGGGACAGGGACGTAATTACCTGCGAGCATGGAGGGAAAGCTCACAAGAGGAAAAACGTCGATGAGATTAATTGATTCGGTCATTGGGGTAATGGGGATAGGTGTGTCGGAGACAATAAGATTGACAAGGGATAGAGCAGGGTTGTTGTTGTTGTTCTTATGTGCCATCGAGTCGTTTCCGACTCATAGCGACCCTATGC